CAGTGTAATAAGGATGGACACACCAGGGAACGATATTATGAAATCATAGGATACCCCAAGTGATGGGATCACAGTCGAGCATCGAAGAAGAATTCAAAAAGAAATCCAACTATTGTTGTTGTAACTATCATTGACAAAGAGGACGACAAAGACATGATGCTTGCTACAATCGCAGGTAGTTATGATTCTAATGGTAAGGCTTTAATAAGCACATCTACCATTCTGAATAATGCATGGATAATTGACTCTGCATGTTCTGATCATGTGACTTTTGATGTTAGACAGGTTAAAAATCTTAAATCTTCCTCACAAAAAAGTATTTCCACAGCTAATGGTAGTAAATCCACTATTATTGGAGAAGGAACTGTCTCTATTTCAAACAATTTGAATCTTAATATTGTCCTTATTGTTCCTTCTCTTAAATATAACCTATTGTCAGTCTCGCAAATAACCAAAGCTCTTTTATGTGTTGTAATTTTTGGGCCTGACTCTTGTGTTTTTAAGGACATTCAAACTATGAAGACGATTGGTTGTGGTATTAGGCGAGGAAGGTTGTATTACCTGGACCTGACAGAAAAAGATTCAAAGAGACTTGATCAAGTGCTAGCAACAAAAGGGTCTCAAGAAGTAAGAAAATGCGAGGATATTTAGTTATGACATAAACGTCTAGGACATGCATCTTTTGGTTACATAAAGAAATTATTTCCAAATGTATTTGACCAAGTAGACACTTCAACTTTTTATTATAATGTTTGTGAGCTTGCAAAGAGTCATACAACATATTTTCCTTTAATTTAAAATAAAAGTTCTCTTCCTTTTATGATCATTCACTCTGATGTATGGGGTCCATCTAAGGTTACAACGTTGGGTGACTCAACGTGGTTTGTAACGTTTATTGATGATTGTACTCAAATAACTTGGTTATGTTTGATGAAGTCTAAAAGTGAAGTTAAAGGACTATTTCAGAAATTCTGCAAAATGATTAAGACCCAAAGGAATATATGTAATCAGAACTTCAACATTTTTTAGTAGCCAAAGGAATTGTTCATTAGAAATCTTGTCCAAATACTCCACAATAGAATGGGGTGGCAGAACGAAAGAACTGTCATCTATTGAAGATGGTCCAAGCTGCACTGATTGGAGCTCACATGCCAGCAATATATTGGGGAGAAGCTCTCACATATGCAGTATACACTATCAACCGAACACCATCCAGGTCTCTTGAGTATAAAACACCTCTTCAATCACTTATAGATGCAGTAGTAAGTCCTAAAATTGCTGAACTAACACATAGAGTTTTTGGTTGTGTTGCTTATGTTCACTTACACAAACATCAGAGAAGTAAGTTATCTCCTAGAGCTAAAAGGTGTGTGTTCCTTGGCTATGCGGATCACCAGAAAGGATATCGGTGCTACAATCCATAAACTAAACAAATGTTTACCACTATAGATGTAGTTTTTCATGAAACCTTGATATATTTTTCCCCCGAGTCTAAAATTCAGGGGGAGAATTATGATGAAGTTCAGACTTTTGTTCCTCAAGAAATTGATATTGAGGTCAGATTGGAGAAAGAAAGTTACAAAGTTATATCAGGAGATGATGAAAGTATGCAACAATGTTATGATCAACAACCACATAATGAGGAAGATTTTGAGCATGTCGAGATCAAAAATTTATCTGTTGATGCTGATGATATACCACACCAATCATCCCCACAAGAACCTAATACAGAAAAAAAAATTGTCAGATCGTGTCACTAGAGGTATCCCTAAGCCTACTTATGATCCTGACCTCACCAGTAAGACAAGATACCCTATGAGTAATTATGTTTGTAACCAAAATTTGTCTAACTCAAATATCACATTTATAAGTCAATTATCTACTATATCTATTTCTAACAGTGTGCAAGAAGCTTTAGCTGACTCCAGGTGGAAGGATGCTATGAATGAGGAGATGAGATCCTTGCAAAGAAATAAAACATGGGAATTAGTAGATAGTCTAGTTGGAAAGAAACCAATAGGATGTCGATGGGTGTATATTGTGAAATTTAATGCAAATGGCACAATTGAGAGATTCAGAGCTAAATTAGTGGCAAAGAGGTACACACAAACATATGAAATAGATTACACTGAAACGTTTGCTCCCGTAGCCAAAATTAGTACAGTTCGAGTATTGTTATCTCTAACTATAAACCTTGATTGGTCCTTACAACAATTTGACGTAAAAAATGTCTTCTTACACGGGGAATTGTCTGAAGAAGTTTATATGGAGCTACCAGAAGGATGTGGAATCCCGAATACACATATCAAGAAGGTATGCAAGTTGAAGAAGTCATTGTATGGACTAAAATAATCGCCACGAGCATGGTTTGGTAGATTCACCAAGTCAATGCTTGCTTTTGGATATCAACAGAGCAATCAAGATCATACCTTGTTTTTAAAGAAAAAGGAAGGAAAAATTACAATTCTTATTGTCTATGTTGATGACATGATAGTTACAGGAAACGATCTAGAGGAACGTAAAACATTGAAAGAGTACTTAGCAAAGGAATTCGAGATGAAGGATTTTGGTCCTTTGAAATATTTTCTTGGAATTGAGGTCTCAAGATCAAAGTCAGGTATTTTCCTCTCACAACGAAAGTATGCATTTGATTTACTGAAAGAAACTAGAATGACAGCATGCAAACCAACAAATTATCCAATTGAAGAGGGATTGAAGTTGTGCATTGAAGAAGATCAAACTTCAACTAACAAGGGAAGATATTAGAGACTTGTAGGGAGATTGATGTATCTCTCACACACTAGGCTAGATTTAGCTTATGCTCTTAGTGTGGTTAGCCAGTTCATGCACAATCCAGGTGAAAAACACATGGATGCTGTTATACGAATTTTAAGGTACATAAAAGCTACTCCTAGAAAAGGAGTTATGTTCAAAAAGAACTCCAACTACAAGGATGTGATGGTTTATACTGATGCAAATTGGGCATGTGCTCTTGATGATAGAAGATCAACCTCTGGATACTTTACATTTGTAGGAGGTAATCTTGTCACATGGAAAAGCAAGAAGCAGAAAGTTGTAGCTAGATCTAGTGCAGAAGCTGAACTTAGAGGAATGGTTCTTGGACTTTGTGAAGGTTTGTGGCTCAGACTATTTCTCCAGGATTTAAGATATGCACATACACATCCCATTCAGTTGTATTGTGATAATAAAGTTGTGCACGACATTGCTCACAACCTTGTCCAACATGATCAGATGAAGCATGTGGAAGTTGATAGATTTTCATCAAAGAAAAGCTTGATAAAAATATTTTAGAATTGCCAAATATTCGATCTGAAGATCAACTAGCAGATATTCTTACCAAAGATGTGATAAGTCAGATTTTTAGGAGATTATTGGACAAGTTGGGAATGCATGATATCCATTTACCAACTTGAGAGGAAGTGTTGGGATAAAAATATTTTAGAATTGCCAAATATTCGATCTGAAGATCAACTAGCAGACATTCTTACCAAAGATGTGATAAGTCAGATTTTTAGGAGATTATTGGACAAGTTGGGAATGCATGATATCCATTTACCAACTTGAGAGGAAGTGTTGAGATAAAAATATTTAATTAACTAAATTATAAGTTTGTATAAGCGGTACAAAATATTGTATAATCGAATTTTCTTTATTTAGTCCTGATTTGTTGGAATAAAATAAAAAAGTTCGATTATATAATATTTTGTACTCATTGTACAAACCTATAATTTAACTTATCAAATATCTTCAACACTCCCCTCAAGTTGGTAAATGGATGTCATACATTCTCAACTTGAAGGAGAGTGTTGAGATAAAAATATTTGATTAACTAAATTATAAGTTTATATAACGGTACAAAATATTGTATAATAAAAACTTTCTTTATATTAGTTATGATTTATTGGAATAAAATACTATAAGATTATAATATCCGTATAAAAAATAATATAAATAAAAATTATAGAATAAATTCTATATTTTTCAATTTAAATATCTGTCAACGTATATTATCAGTTTGAGATTGATAGATAACATTTCCCCAAGTCATTAATGATTAACACTTCTCATATCATTAATGATCAGCATCCGTGGTTTATTGTAGTTTACTTGTTCTCTATTACCATGATGCTAAGATTGATATATGAGCTCACTGATTGATATAAATTGATATATCAGTTGACTGCCCTTAAAGAATTAAGAAAGAGAAAATGGAAAGGAGAAACTACAAATGGAATCTATCAATTTATTTGTACATAAAATAAATAAGTGTAGAAATGTAGAAGCACCCACATCGACAGCACATCCTAGAAGCTCTAGCAATACAGCTTTCAAGCAACCAACAATCCCATTTTTCAATGAAAACTCCGGTGATGAATGTTTAGCCACATGGACATAAAAAAATTTTAATTAACTAACACATTAAAAATAAATTAAGATGATTATTATTAAAATTGAAAATGATGTTATATTATTATTATTATTATTATTATTATTATCATATTACTATTATAATAATATTTTTATTATTATTCTCTAATTGAAACAATTCAAACAAATGCTGATTATTATGCAATTTAAGCAAACGGGATTAGCCAATAAGTTTTATTCCATCATTCCGAATTTTTTTATCTGACAAATTTTTGGATTCAACAACTTATAAAGATCTTTAGAAACAGATTTATGAGTCAGTAATTGAAATATTAGAATACATATGTTTATATGTTTTGGATGGGTTAATTCGAAACTTGAAAAAATATTATAGATACTAGATTCATTAATTTTCAAAATTTTCTATGTCAATCAATTTGAAATATATTAAAAGAAAATTATTATCAATTTCGTAAAATATAGAAGGATAATATTGTACAAGAATTAGCCGGAAGCTTTTTGGTGGTGAATAAACGAGCCCGGCCATTGTTATATCCCTAAGTTCACGTGCCCTCCAGCTTGAGAACCAACGCTGCGACGACGGCACTGTAATGCAAATGAAGTTTGTGGTGAAGAAGGCATGGAGCAGTGGCGGTCGGGTAGGAGCGCTAGAGATTGGAAGCTGCCCGGGACCCATAGAAACTCCCGCTCTTCTCCTATCCACTCGTAAAGGGCTTCCGCATTTTATCGCCCCTGACCTACTCACTTCTCTCCCTTCCCCTGATTCCCATCTCCTTCAAATTTCTCCGCTCCACTTGTAAGTAGTAACGGCGTCCATTTTTCATAATCTAATTCATATCATTCACATTCTCTTCTCGATCAATTTTCTAGTTTGGAAGGTCTTGCTTCAACCACAATATCAAAAATAGGAGGCCTTCACCAAATGCTTGGTTTGCACCAATATGGAATTGCGGCGGTAGCCAGAGATTCCGTCCAATGCCTTCCTGAGTCTAAGGGAGCTACCAAACACGGAGCATGTTTTGAGACTCCTTGTGGTCGTCTGCTGGTAAATTTAGTGTCAATTGCTGCCTGCCTTGCGTTGAAGTATTCTATACTTTCTGCTGTAGTTTTACATTTTAAATAATGATGGATCTAACGTGTCTTCTAATCGCACATTGACATGACCAGATTAAACCCAAAGATTATGTTGAAATGATTTCATGCATGACGCCAAATATATGGGCCAGTTTGGCTGATGAAGTACCTGCTTGGGTGTCTGATCAAAGGAACAAAACCTCTGTAGATAGAACTGTGCGATGGCTTGATGATTGCCTTGCATTAAATCCGGTAAATGATTATGTTTTCTTATTTTACTCCAGTCGTGATATGAATTGTGTTTCGAAGTTCATGAATTCTTGGAAATTTAATAACCGTAACGATTGTGGTTTCAATAATGTTTTGTCATATTTTGAGTCTCTTGGTTGGGAAGACGAAATTGAGTTGCAAAATAAGTAATAATGAATGATGAATGTGAAAGCATTGTCATCACCAGCTTCACTGGTTTCTTTTTACTTGTAATTAACAACATATAATGGTATCTAGAAAGACCCTAGAGCTTTTAGCATGGGTATGATCTAAATGATCTTTGCTTCCATTTTGGCTGAGGCAGCTTTTCTCAATAGATGTGAATTTTTGGTTTCTTTTGATTTGTCTTTACTTTTTATTCAAACACGACAACAGGCAATTTTGCGACTAGTCACTTCACCATTCTGCTGCTGTCCTATGTAAAGTTCAGAACTCCAACGTCACCTTAATTTTCAGCAATTTCCTTTAGCCTCCAGTATGTGACATATTCTGGTTACTGAAATTCAAGTAGAAAGACATGCGAAGAGTATTCTTTCTTACACTATGATTTATCGTTGCTTCTTGTATAAAAGGATTTGAATATTATAATTATGCCAAAAGAGGTGAAAACCTGAGGCATCAATAGAGTATTTGTAACCCCAAAATATAATAAAAATTAGAGACAAATCATAATTCTAATTCTAGCTCTTATTTTTATTAGATATAAAATCCTAGATTAGAACAATAACAATAAGAAAAACAACAATAACAGACTTATATATCATATATTCTTCATTCTTTGTTTTGGAAATTTTGTAAACTCTTCAAATTCTTGATAATTTCTCATTCACAACTTTCATTTTGTCAATCTAGTAATCTTGGTAATGTCCAGATTTCAGTACTATTGCACCCTGCAAGGACTTTAAGCGCTCTCTTTTCTTTCCTACCTTTTCCTTAACTTCATTCCACTACTAAGATTCATTCTTATCTCTTGGCCCAAAACCATTTAGTTAACCCAAAATTAGCTTATCAACCTTTTTAGACAAATCCCAAATGAGGTTAGCGTTACCTGGTAACTCCCAATTGCATTCTTCAAATAATTTATTTTTAAAAGTCAAATAGTTGGCTTCCTTTGGTTGGCAGAGCTGTCTGTTAGATTCTCTGTTTATGTTGTTTAACAAAAAGCAAGAACATATCCCCTATGACATTTTGTCAAAACCATCATTGTAAATTGGGTTGGCCATCAATACTCAGGGCGGAACCAGAAAATTTATAACAGGATCAACGTATAAAAATTAATTATCATATAAAAATAAATATATTTTTATATTTAATATTTCTAATTGAATTTAAATTTTAGAAAATAAAATTTATTTCATCTGTCCTCTTTTTTCTTTAAAAAAATGAGTCTATAATTTTACATATCTTTAAAACTCAAACTGAATTTTTTTGTTCACATTTTAAAATCAAAATAGAGTATCATAAAATATTAAAATATTTAACTAATTATAACAAATAAAAAAATATATATCAATATTTCATATTTTTATATTATATTACACATGCTATTTGTTATAATAATAATAAACAAAAATAACAAAGAAAATAAATTTGTTTATTTAAAAAGACATTATTGTGAGGTATCTCTTTTATTTTTTTAATTTTTTGCCTTATGCCTTTTTGAATAGAAAACACAAAAACTAAAGAATAAAAAATTACAATTTTTTATGTTATAGTGATAAAATTATAAAAAAAAAATTGAAAAGTATGGAAAAAATTTACAATGTTTATATTATAAGATGAAATCATGAAAAAGAAAAATATGAAAGTGAATGAGGGATAAAAATAAAAAATAGAAATTTGAAAAGACAAAATGGGTGTATGATAAAAAAGGTTGAGATGTGAAAATAGAAGAAAAAAGAAAAAAAAATTATAAGTGAGAAATTATATAAAAGAATAGATATAATATTTATTATAAATAAAATTTAAGAGAAAAAAATAATTTTTTTGTATATTTATAAAATAATTTTTATTTCATTTTTAAAAATATATATATATATATATATATATATATATATATATATATATATATATATATATATATATATAAACATGATTTGTGGTTTGGGGGAGGGCGTGACCTCTGGCGGCCCTCCGTGATTTCGCCTCTGTCAATACTCCCTTCCTATAAAATCATCATGTCAGGCTTGAAAGTAATTTTGGTAATGGTGTGTACAATGGTGTCTTTCTCATTGATCACGTCCAAGATTGATTGAGGCATTATCCTTTTCACTGATAGGGTTCTTCTAGGAAGATCAATTGAACTCGAAGAAGAACCAAGAATGGGTAGGGAAACCAAAGAATTGAGTGGAATCCGAACAAAACTTTTATTGGATTAAAAGAATTTCAAGAGAATTACCTTCCATTTCTTTTTCTTTTGAGCTACGGTTTACAATATGCTATATATAGCAGTAATTCTCTAACAGACTAACAACTTCCCAACTGAAAGTTTAACAGAATTGACCAACTCACTATATCTCCTAATGACACGTGTCCCTCATCTAAACCAATCAATAACAACCACTAACAATCTGAATTAACATCCTGTATCAATCCCTTCCCCTTAAGCAAGTCCTTGTCCTTAAGGACTGAAGTTTGGAAACTTCTTCTTCAAGTCATAATAAAATTCCCAGGTAGCATCTTCAGGCGGCTGATGCTTCCACTTAACCAGCACTTTGGTGACAGCCTTGTTACCCCTCTTCACAGTGGTTCTGTCAATGATAGCTTCAGGTTCCTTGATGACAGCTTCTTCTTCTGACATTGGACAGTCTGTTGAAGTGTTTGCTTCTCCTACCGATTTCTTCAATTGTGAAACATGAAACACATTATGTATCAAGGAATTAGCTGGTAATTGCACCTTATAAGCCACAACACCAATATTTTCAAGGACTGCATAAGGTCCATAGTATTCAGGAGCCAGCTTTGCGTTACTTCTAAATGCCACAGAGATTTGTTTATATGGATGGAGCTTGACAAAAACCAAATCCCCAACCTGAAGTTCCCTTTCTGATCTATGTTTATCTGCCAACTGTTTCATCCTCTCCTGTGCCCTTTTCATGTGAAATTTGGCTAGCTTAAGCATTTCCTCCCTCTTTTGCAAACTTCTGTCCACTAATTCCACTTTAGACTCTCCTGGTAGATATGGTAAATAAGTAGGAGGAGTCTGTCCATACACGATTTCATAGGGGCTAGCTTTTATAGAACTGTGATATGTGGTGTTATACCACCATTTATCCAAAGAAAGCCATTTGGACCACTGTTTAGGTTCATCACAGCACATGCACCTCAGGTATGTTTCAACACATCTGTTAACCACTTTTGTCTGACCATCTGTTTGAGGATGGTAGGCAGTGGAAAGCTGGATTTGAACGCCTTGGAATGCCATAAACTCCTTCCAAAACTGGCTTATAAACACAGAGTCCCTATCACTTGTAATGGTAGCGGAAACCCGTGTAGTTTGAAAACATTATCTAAGAAGCATTGGGCTATTGTTGCAGCTGTGTAACGGTGTTGTAAGGCCATAAAGTGGGATGCTTTGCTCAATCTATCAACTATTACAAAGATAACTTGCTTACCAAAAGAGTTAGGTAATCCCTCTATAAAATCCATGATAATATGCTGTCATACATGGTCTGGAACTGGTAATGGCTGCAGCAACCCAGGTGATGCAGCAGTATCATACTTGCTCCTCTGGCACACTTGGCATTGCTGTATAAATCTCCTAACATCCTTACTCATGCCCTTCCAATAGACTACTGATTTTACCCTGTGAAGAGTAGAATCCCTACCTAAATGTCCTCCACAAGCAGTAGCATATAACCATACCAGAATCTGTTTTCTTACTTCCTGGTCTTTACCAACTACTAATTTCCCTTTCCTTCTCAGCTCTCCCCTCTGCCAAGAAAGTTTCTTATGAGTAGCACTGTCAGCCTGCAACTCAGTGATGATCCTTTGTAAGTCTACATCGGTTTGCCAAGTGTTTTTAATTGTATTCAGTAACTCAGAAGTAGGTTGATGAACTAGTAGAGCTGAACATTCAATCCGGGATAAGGCATCAGCAGCTACATTCTCACGCCCTTGTTTATATTCAATATTGGAATCAAACTCCATCAATACAATTAGCCACTTCTGCTGGAATGCCGTAGACAACCATTGATCCAGGATGTACTTTAGGCTTTGATGATCTGTCCTTATAGTAAACTTCTTAGACAGTAAGTAGTGGCTCCATTTCTGAACTGCAAACACAACTCCTAGCAGTTCCTTCTCATAAGTCGAAAGTGCTTGCTGCTGCTGATTAAAGCTCCCACTAATGTAGGCTATTGGATGCCGATCCTGCATTAAAACAACTCCAACTCCTTGTTTGGATGCATCTACCTCAAGCACAAACTCTTTAGAAAAATTGGGTAAGGCCAGAACTGGTGCATTGCTCAATTGAGTTTTTAATTTCTGAAAAGCACACTTGGCTTCCTCTGACCAACTAAAACCATCCTTCCTGAGCATGTCGTGCAGTGGTCTGGCTATGGTGCTATACCGATTGACAAATCTTCTATAGTAGCCCGCTAATCCCAAGAATCCTCTTAATTGCTTCACAGACTGAGGTAAGGCCCATTGTTGCACAACAATTATCTTAGCAGGATCTGTGGCAACACCCTTTTCTGTGATAAAATGTCCCAAATACTCCACCCTTATAACTCCAAAGTAGCACTTGGATTTCTTGGCAAATAGAGAATGGTTTCTCATAGTGGATAGGACTTGGTATAAATGAACCAAATGGTCCTCAAGACAGGTGCTATATACTAAAATATCATCAAAAAATATCAGGACAAACTTCTGTAAGAATTCCTGAAACACAGTATTCATGAGTCCTTGAAAAGTGGCAGGGGCATTTGTCAGTCCGAAGGGCATAACCAAGTATTCATAATGCTCTGAGTGAGTCTTAAAAGCTGTCTTGTGCACATCCTCGTTAGCCATTCGAACTTGATTGTAACCAGACCTCAAATGAAGTTTAGAAAAGATTTTGGAACCATGTAACTCATTTAACAAGTCGTCAACTAGATGAATAGGAAACCTGTTCTTTACTGTTCCTTTATTCAACTCCCTGTAATCTATGC